GATGTTTCTAATCACCTTAGATTTCTGTCAGCTTACACAGGAACTTGTTCACTCCCTCACGTCTTTATATATATCAGGTGAGCAAAATCGTTCTGCAGTGGGCTTGGTGGTTGCCTGAACACCTGAATGAGAAAACTTGTGCAACGTATTGGAGACGCTGCGTCCGTAATTTTTTGTCACTATTGAACGATCTCTACCTGTGAATGTGTCACAGCAACTTTTTTCACCTGTTCCCGTCTGTTTAATACACTGTTTCATGGTTGTCGAAGATAACTTGTGGTTAAGATCAATGTCTTCTTTTTTAAGATGGGAGAAAGTAAAAAGGTTGATTTCTTGGAAACTGTCCAAGGAAGTTATACGAGATAAGGCGTCTGCAACTGCATTTTTGCCCCAGAAATGGGTTGTATACCTGAAGTAAACTGCTAAATGTAGTGCAGTTGTCGAGACTCTCAAGGGGAATACTTGTCTTAAGATGAACTTAAAGGGAAGATCAGAGGTTTGTGATCGGTGAATAAAGTGAATTCTCGGCCTTCCATGGAATGTTGGAAGTGGCGCACGGTACAATACATGGCTAGCAGTTGCCTACCGAAAGTGTTATATCTCGATTCGGTGTCTAGCAACCTTCTCGAAAAAAATGTCAAAGGTTGTCAGGTTTGGTTTACCCATTGTTGTAAGACTCCTCCGATTGCAGAGTCGGATGCGTCTGCTGAGATACTAATGGGTGCTTTGGTGTCCTAGTATGCGAGAAATGTTTCTTTGGCGATAATTTCCTTAACTGTGAAGAATTCTTTTATCACAAAGTCGTCAAAATTGATGGACTTATCGTTTCCACGAAGTTGGTCGGTTAAAGGTATCATCAGAGGCGCGCAATTCGGTATAAGCCGTCGATAGAAACTTACCAGGCGGTTAAATGTGCGTAACTGCTTGATTATGGTCGGTTCTGGGTAATCCGGAATGGCCGCCACTTCGCTTTTCAGAGGTCGAATACCTTGAGCATGAATGGTATATCCGAGAATATCTAGAGAGTCGGTGCCGATTTGACATCTCTTAATGTTTATAGTAATGCCGTTCTTTTGTAGTTAATCGAAGATAAGATCCAGATGCTGGAGATGATATTCTCTGTTCGGATTTGCGATTGAGCAGTCATCAACATACGCATATACGAAGTTGAGACCTCGAAAAACGTCATCGATGAATATCTGAAAATTTCGTGTAGCATTTATTAAGCGGAAAGGCATGCACAAAAATTCGAAGAGACCGAAAGGTGTGATGACAGTGGTTTTAGGAATGTCGACAACAGCCATGGGAGTTTGGTTATATGCTTTAACCAAGCTGATTTTCGCAAAAACAGTTGTACCTTTCAAGGTAGCTGTCAAATCGTGAATGTGAGGAAACGGGTAGTGATCAAGAATGGTTTTCGAATTCAATCGCCAATAGTCACTAGTTGGACACCAGTCATTGCTGTTCTTTTTAGGTACGATGTGCAAGGGAGATGCTCATGTGCTGTTTGATGGCCGAAAGGTTCCCAAGTCTATCATATGATCGAATTCGTTTTAAGCCAACCTCAGTTTTTCGGGGTCTAGTTGGCGTGCTTTGGAGAATACGGGTAGTCCTGTAGTCGTGATATGATTTGTAACATTGTTGGTTACACGTGGCAATTTCATTCGCGTTTGGTATAGTTATGGGTAGTATGAATCGATCGTGTACCTTACTGCAACTGAGGATAATCTACAATCCATTAACCTCCGTTTGCGCGTGTTGATAAGTAGATTATGATGTTGTAGCGGATCTACACCAATGATTGACATAGAAACATCTGCAGCAACGATGATCCAGTGGATGGGTTTGCGTAAATCCACGTTAAGACAAACATATCACTTACCACATGCGGTGATCAGTCTCCCATTTGGCGCTTGTAAGTTGTGCTGTCGGTAGGTAAAATTTGCTGGAAGGACGCTAAATTCTGCGCCAACGTCTACGAGGTAGCGAACTTTCATAATCATATCAATGATGTATAACAGACGGTTATGTTCGCCGGCTACAGTCGCCATTAACGCGTGCCGACTGGACAGTTTACCAAAGCGTTCGGGAAAACGAATGGTTTTCTACAATTTCGAGATTTTCCGTGCTGAATATGATATCGGCACAAGACAGGGTTATCTGTCTTTTGTGATCTAGAGACAGATGGTTTTCGTGAACTACTTCTTAGAGGAGTTTGGGAGCGTCTATGGCCATGACGAATACTAAGGTAATGAGTCAGTGTATGACAGAGATTTATAACGTCATGTCGTGTCATTTGAGGCTTTTCTTTGGTTGAATAAACCTCAGAGTTCGAAGTTATGGGTTTCTTTAAGTAGAAAGCGAAGTCTCATTCACTCTTTATGCCATCGAATACATCGGATATGTAGTACGAAAACTCTGATGAAAAATGGCTGTCCAGACCGCTTCATAGATAAGAATATGAAAAGAAGTAGTTGTGACAAAGAATCCGGTTGTTCCTTTCCAAACAAAAACCTTTATATAAGTTTGTAATTTAAAGGTGATCGAACATCTGGTGTAGTCAAAAATTATTTTTAGCGACAGCGATAAAAAGAACATTCTATGCGGCAAAACTCCGAATAACGTTCACTAGTAGGGAATTGTTTTCTGTATCCATAAATGATAAGCTTCCCTGTCCGGTTGCCTCCATGTGCATCTACCAGTTCACCTGCTTTTATGGAGCAAGGCACGTTGGCTGTAGCAAGCGCTCGCCTTCAACACCGATACATGAACATGTCACAGTGTGGTTCTACAAGGTTGAGGGGAATACAGTTAGCAGTTCCATACTTGGACATCTGATCGACTTTATTCATTCACTCTACTGATCCACAGTGTGATTTTAAGTTTATTTATACGATCCGTCCAAACCTACCTAGATTTCTTCGTTCCAACTCCTAAAAATAGCCGAAGCTCTTATCATCCATGAGCTCAAGCCATAACTATACATACAAAATAGTACGTCCTATCGTTATCATTACCTTGACCTTTATTATTATTATTATTATTATTATTATTATTATTATTATTATTATTATTATTATTATTATTATTATTATTATTGCATTTCTCCCCTTACGTGTATCTCAAATCCTCATTAGTTTATTCATAATTGCTCATGATATCACTTTATTGACTTTTTACACGATCATGACCTTTAATTATTGTAACAAAAATATTTGAATCATCCTACTACATTCAAGTTCTAACTCGTTACTAACTTATTAAGTCGATTGTTATTATTTTTGTTACGTAATCTAGTATTATAATCTTTCTATTGCGTCATCTTGGTTATTCCATGTTCACATTTCCTTACGGAACTAGTAGTTTAAACAAAAAAAAAACTGTTTCTTTACTTATATTTAGTGACAATCATATATTTTAAAACAAAATAATTGGTCAGTACAGTAGATAACAGAATAATATTTTCAGACCTGATGACAGTTGCATGACCAGACCTACACACAGATAAATCGATGTACTGACTTTAAGGTTTATTGGCTAAAAGTTTGATTTCGATAGAACAATGAGAAGACGGAGTTGATCTGAAAAAATGTGATGTATTTGCGCTATACATTTCGAACAATCTGGTCACATATATACTTGTCAAGGCATTTTTATATGAAAATTAATAAAGGTCAAACAAGTATATGTGTGACCAGATTGTTCGAAATGTATAGCGCAAATACATCACATTTTTCAGATCAACTCCGTCTTCTCATTGTTCTATCGAAATTTATAAAAGGGACTAATTGCTTTAAAAGTTTGATATTGAATAAAATGAAAGATGAGGAACTGAGAGGTAGCTTGAATGAATTGTGTGTATATAATCCAGTTTTCTCGTCATCCGAGTGACGTAAAGATGCCACGAGTATTCGGAGTTTGACAACGCTTTAACCAGTAACACCTCTTATAATCTAAATATACCATCCCAGTCAAATCAGAAGTGAAGAGGTTCGAGGATATAAATATATATTGAGGAGCAATATATCTGAGTTGGCTAGTTGTTTTAGGAGATGTGTAGCACGGCGTACCCACTCGTGATCTGGTGCGGATGCATGACCGAGGACATACAGCTAGATGAGTACAGTAAAACGTATGCGCTCAGCATCATATGTCGAACACTTACAGAGCAATTGTTTTTGCGAATTTATTTACCACTACAAAGCAAAATATACTATGAATAGTTTTTGGTTTTCTCCAAATCGTATAGCCGTATGGTCTGAGTGGATCCCATAACCAAAATTAAGTTCACTTTGCACATCACATCAACTCAGTGATATTAAAATGATTTGCAAAATCATAGATCCAGAATGCCAAATAATTTTCTCGATCTATTTTGATTCACTTATGAGAAAATTAAGCAATCCATCTAATTAATACACAATGTGTTCCTAGTCGATGCCGCCTTAAACGTTCGGTTACGATTTTATGGTGTTGTGAATTTTTAGGATAGAAACAATTGATCACTTTCAACACATGGGCTTCTAATATACATGCTTCGATACGACTTAGTTACACCCTGATAATATTCGATAAGGAACACCATTGTTATTCATCAGTCTAGTCGAGACTCCTCAGCTAGATGAGCATGGATCTCGACTCAGTTATGATATTCGTAGTGCGACTATACATTGGAACCTATTAGTTTGTTTGTAAAATAGACGTAGCAGTTACTTATGCCAGTTGCAACGCTTCATTGTGAAGATGAGTCGATAGAAAATTCTGAATCTACTGTTTCTATTTGTTATCACTCAATATACAAACACCACAATTCAAAGCATCCACCCAATACATGTAGTGTTATGGGCAAGTGAACTTAGTGTAGTAGTGATATATAGACAATAACTCACACAATCAAATTACGTGGAAACTCTATTCATTCATTTAACGATTAGCTGAAACAGTATCTATTTCGCCATTATCATAGTCGAGAACACAAGAAAGTCAAAATCACACAAACATTGAAAGGACAACATTTATGAAAACATACATACAATTAATATTCATGCACTTCACATTCTTTTCAACAATAAAGCTGAGAGAAAATGATTTCGTTCAGTTTACAGGAGAAATATATTATTCTGTTCACATTCACGACGAACGTGTTCAGGCCATATACTAACTTGCACTTCACCAATATGTTTCTTCTCCATAAAGAACATACACAATCGACTCTGTCCTATTCCACCACCTATCGTTAATGGATATATACCATTCAGAACATTTTGATGATATTCAAGCTGTTTACGTGCTTCACAACCACTTTCTTTCAACTGTCTCTCCATTGACAACTCATCCACTCGGATACCCATTGATGACAATTCTATACATCTATCGTCGTGTTCACTATAAACTAGTATATCTCCATTCAATTCCCAGTCATCATAGTCTGGGGCTCGATTGTCGTGTATCGTATTGGATTTCAGAAGCTTTCCGATCTGTTTGAGAAAAACAGCACCATACTGTTTAACTGCAAGATATTCACGTTCTGCCGGTTTTTTGTCGGGGTAGATATCTTCTAATTCTTGCGTTGTAATGAATTTAATATTTTCCGGTAACTTGCGATTTAACACTGGGTATGTCGATATCAAAATGTTCTCAGTTACTTTCATAGAGTCATATATCTTCTCAACTACTTCCTCCAATTTTCCGTCATTTCGTTCATCTCTTTGAATAATGATCTCCCAATCCCATTGGTCTACATAATATGAGTGCAGTAGTGAGACATCTTGAATTTTCTCATTGATCAGTTAGTTTGTGCTAGATACGTATTTGGATCGTACGAGAATGTGGTTATGTGGGTCGTATTCGATTTTTACAAATCTTGAGCGTAGTACTGTATATCTTTATGGAATTACTGATATGCATGAACAAGTCAGTTGTATTCGTCCTATCAAGATGACTGATGATCTAGATCAAGCTTCGTGACGAATCCATATTCAGATGAGAAATTAACTCAGAATGGTTGAGCTACTTGTACCATTTAAGTAGTTAAAAATATGATTTTTATCGCAACTAGACTATTTGTTTTCGGTACAATGCATTCCAGAATACATTAAATTAGATCACTTCTAATCTGTCTGATCAAAATGTTAATGGATTTATTCCTGTAACTTTCAGTAAATTATCTTTCTATCTAAAATTTTCGGTAAAATATTAAATCCATTGTACAAGAGAGACTTCTGTAAAGCTAAGTTAATTGAAGTTTATTTAAACTTGTTTATCTGTGAAATATGAGATTCGTATCACACCAATAACCGATATTTGACCAGTAACAAGAAAAGTATTGTGTTGTAGAACGAAACGTGTGTTGAGTGCGAAGTCACAGTTAGTTTTCAATCCAGTCGAATGTAACGCTGTGAATGATGGAACATGGAATTAACGTCAAAATGGTAAATATCGATGATCAACTGAAGAAATATTAATCTCTGATTTAATACAAGCCAACAGACATGTTTTCTATTCTGGTGGCCTACTGACGTCGTCGGGAGGTATTCTATCTCCAAACAACTGGTTGATGAGTTGTCTAGAAATTCCATTTTCCAATATTTTTGATATGAAGTGTTGAGTTCAATAATAATAATAATAATAATAATAATAATAATAATAATAATAATAATAATAATAATAATAATAATAATAATAATAATAATAATAATAATAATATTAATAATAATAGTATTCTAACTTGACTAAGTCAGTAAATGATCGGATGTGATTTCAGTGAATTCCGTAAGCTTCAAGGAATAACAGAAGACGTATGTAGACAACTTAACAATACTTCTGATATTCCAAATCTCCACAAAATTCTCACTCGAAAACGAAGATTTTACTGTTTACTTTTGTCGACCAAAACAGTATAGGATTTTAGTTTTTCCTTTGAGTGTGATATATTTCATGAAATTAGTCTATTTGTCTAGTTTGGTACTGTCAGAATAGATGGTTGTTCCATGAGCACAGAGAGAATGCTTACTATCTATTTATTTAGTTACTAAATGATAAAATTCTATCGAAACATTTTCTGGTCAAGATATTGTTTATGACGAGTGTTTAACAATGATGTTATTGAACTTCTTCCTGAAGTTTGTTCTGAAGATGTCATTCAGAAGAATGATGAAAGCTCCATGCCCAAACAGCCCAGGTCAGAGAACAAATTCCATAAATATATTTATATGAATTTTCAGGATAATTGCTTGCTGAATAGTTTGACGACAAATTTTCACTACTACTAATAGCGAATCGTCTCATTATTAACTCATCAATTTGAGATCACTTGCATGTCTACGATTGCTTTGTCTCTGATTGCACCGGTGTATCAAAACGTAACTCATATGAATCAGAAGTTTGTGTAGTTAGGCAATTATATGACGTGATAATTCATTAGAGGATGCACAATGTCAATGATGATTTCCAAAGAACATTCAGATATTTGTAAGCATCAAATTATAGTTAGTACATTTTTATTTTTTGTACTCTTTAAGATACGAAATTTAACGAATGCCATTGTTATGTTGTTAAATGAATTGGCAAGTGATGAAGATAACATTGATAGTATAGTTTTGTATATGTATACATCAAAATGCAATGTTTATCAATGCATGAACCTTACTAAACTGTACTAATAAAAACTATGAAAGTGAATCATATCAAAACAAACAATAAGACAGGCTAATTTTCTCACCAAAAAACGTCCATACACATAGACAATGTTTCAACGACTGGTAAATAAAATTAGCATATGGAATATATTTCAAAGTATTTGTGTGGGTGTGAATATAACACTTATTTTCTCAACCTACACATTTCATATTATTCAGGAAATTTAGAACTTAATATTTGGTGCTGTTAAGAAATAACAGACTATTTTGTCGTTTCAGGTATAAATCATCTTGGTTAAGTGAAGTTGCACTGTTAGTTATGGATAAATTGATGAGAAAAGACCTTGTGAACGAAGACTCGATTCGGAGGAGGAAAATAATTTTTCATAATTTGAGAAGAGTTGACTTAGTTAATTATCGATAGTTTATATTATTGTCACCTTGTCGAGGCCATTTTTTGTAATCAGTCCAATATATCTTTAAATAGTTTATCTCCATACGTTTCACCCCGTTACAACTTAACAAGATAACATATTTCTTTGGTATTTAAAACACAAAACTGTTTATAGTTAACCTAAGATCATGAATGGATCTAATCTAGACAAGCATTGAAACCCTTGTAGCATTCTTTTGCAACTCTGTTATCTAGATGTCTATCATTCACTCGTGTGAGTTATATTCCTTTGTTCAATCATCAGTAACAAGTTTTTGAATACGCATTGCTGAAGTGTTACATGCTAAGATGAGTTAACTGTACTGAACTTCCAGGTTTTCAATGGTTTTCTATTACGTATTGGTTCGTAATCTGAATAATATTCAACAATCTCTGAAACCCTATGGCAATAAAGTGATATAACCGAAAGTCTGTTTCGTATCTCAAAGTTTTTCTCTCTCTCTCTCTGGTTGCTCGTTATTCATACAGATGACTGTAACTTTAGGTAACTGGATATAAATCTCATTTATCAATAATTTCAAGGAAAAGTCTCATTTAACTAATAAATTCGCTTGTTGATTTGTTTCTAGTGACAAAGTATCGAAGATGTTTGGTCACTTACACTATAATTGGTTTATTTTTAAAATGAAATGTAAAAGAGAGAAGTAGTTATAAAATTACTTCCGTCAAATTCGAAGGTCTTGACGAAATTTTTGGTTAAAATCTTAATTGTTTCTGCTTTTGAATGGAGTAACATTTGGTGAAATGAAACAATATTTATGGTGCTATCTCTCAAACAACTTAGTTTGGTCATCGAACGATTTAATTTGTACAGAGATATATGGACGACATATTCGTCGATTAAGACGAGGATGTTGACCTAATTGACATTATCCTGATAATTTTTATCCACCCTTAGAACTAAAGCCATAAAACGAAGCAAATCGTTTAGTCTCGTTAATCTATGTACCTCTGACAAGGAGTGTTAGATGTTCATTAAAAGTAAATATGGAAAGACCAACTAACTTACTTCAATAGTTGCTTGCTATGACGCAGAAAGAGGAACCTCATTCATTCTTCAAGTTACCAGATACGTGAGATCTATATTACTGAATGCTCTGAGGAAGACCTTAACTTCCTTCATATATTGACTTACTGTAAAGATTTGAAAAAAGTGTATTCAGAATAATTAATTTCTGAGAACATTTACAGAAATTTGAAAGAGAATCACCAGGAATAAAATATATGTGTATTCTCTAATTACAGATCACTACATCTCATCGTTTCGGTAAACTCGTTCCACTTTATGTATTTGAAACTAAATAAACGATTCTGATTAAATCTATAGACATTATTAAAAGCATTAAAATTAATCCTGTTCTAATTGTTGTTAGGGCTATCACTAAGTTATCATTCTATTTCAAATCGATTATCATAGTCCTGGTAGCTACTCGGTTCTGATATTGACGTCAACAGCTATATATATTTTTTCATTTTAGAGTCATAGCAATTATGAAAGCCTTTTTATTGAGCTTCAAAGTTCAATCTTTCGTTATTTGACTGTTGATTTTACTAGGTGGATGGACACTTACAATCATCTCACAGAGTCCCACTGTAGAGGACGAATTAACTAATTAATAAAGCTGTAATATTTCATCGAATGAGATAACCGTGAAATGCGTTGCAAATGTCCAGGCATTACTTATCTCGACATGCAATGTTGACTAGTATAAGGACAAGCTAAGAGGCTAGGACAGACCACACTGATGAGTGATAGTATTCCATAATGTAATTGACTCTGGGTCTAAGCCACGTAAGGAGCCCCAAAACTCCTGGTTTGGATCCACGAGATCATAGTGATCATTGTTTGAAGAACATTATTTATTATCTAAATGTAAATTTCTTACCACAAGTAACATTCTACATGTCCCGAACTTTCCCTACTTCTTACATTAACCTTGTTATCACTGAGTAATGATCTCCATTTGTTGTTTGCAACAGTAAAATTGACTCATTGAATATGGTCGATTTTATTTAATCGTATAAAGTGTATGACAGAAATACATCACAATCTTCTTGTTATGACAACTGAATTTTAATTTTAATGAAACATTGAAATGATTGTGCTGGTCATAATTTACTAAAAAAACGAATCCCCTAATTCCAACCAAATGGGTTTTTGAATAGAGAACTGCTGGTCAACTGTCTGAATTAGTAAGTATGGGTGTTGTTTTGTATGCTACTTATGTTGACAGATATAAGTGGTATGTAACACCAACCAGGAGTGGAATACTTGGCAGCAGAAAATTGAATTGAAGAGAAGAGGAATGTAAACAGAGAGTAATTATAATAACAACAGAATTTAGAGAATCATGAAGCATGTGAAGGGTAAGCGAAGGAAGATGTGGAAATTATGTGTTTAATGTCTGGTTTTCATATTTTATGAATAAAACTCCACCGAAACCATCCACCTGAGTTACAGATCTTCTTAACCAGCATTTTAAAGTTAGATTATTTTTTATCGTACTATATTTAAGTGATCTGATAAATTAGTCGATAACGTTTTGATAAATTTCATATGTCCAAACACCTAGACGTGCCCTTTCAAATGGATTCGGCGATATCTAGAACAACGCGTATGACACGCTGATTCAAAATCTAGATGGAACTAACTGATATTTATCAGTATAAGGTTATGGAGATTGTTGTAGTTAAACATCAACACCGCCGGATGCCGGCC